CTGATTATAATCTTAATCACAAACATAACTGCATGAGCATAGGGATGCACAAGTCTTCTTCCAGCCAAAGGAGTCTATTGCATCTAAGAATGTTTTTTTTCTAAATTGAGCCGAGTGGTATGTTCTCCAGAGTTTCAAGGCAAGCAAAATGTCTGAATCTTGCAGATTGTTTTAGTCTCATATTTGCAAATAAGAAATACACTTCAGATATTTTTAGAAAGTTGAAAAGTGTTTTTTTTTTCACAGGGAAGAAGAATAAGCCAAACACATAACTTAAAAATGTCTTCCTTAGTTTAGCTGTATGAAAGGGATGTTGTCATCAAGAAGAATATTCAGAACAAAGACAGTAGATGTAAAGTTGACTGAGCTTCTGGAATCATAAAATTTACTGTATTCCTAATGATGATGGATTAAATTTTGTTTTATTATATTGAAAATAAGTGTAGTGAAGAAAGATGTAACAAATGCCCAAGAAATACTGTAAGAAATGAAATCCTAAAAAACTGCAGCCTCAAAAGAGAAATCCAGAATAATCTATTACATGTAATAAAAACAAGCAGCTCTGTGAACGAAGAATAGCTTTGTAGTAGAAAATCACCAAGCGAGACTGAGCACAGTCCACAGTTGGAGCTGCACTTTAGTTTTATCAAAGATGGCTAGCAGTAAAACGTGAGACATAACTTCATGAATGCCAGGAACATACATTCATGTGGGACCTCCAGAAGGTCATCTGACCCGAATCTCTGCTTAAAGCAGGTTAGGTTAGATCAACTTGCTAAGGTCCTTGTCTAGTCAAGTTTTGAAAGGTCCTTTTCAGGTCCTTCTCTGCAAAGCCCCTTTACAGGTGCTTGTCCCCGAGCATGTACTGGTGAATAGCAGTATGCCTTCCTCAATGCTGTGGGGTTCCTGTCCACCCATTTCTCCAGCTTGTCTATGTCCCCTTGAACAGCAGCCCTGCCTTCCAGCATACTGACCACTTTTTCCCAAGTTGGTATTGTCCACTCACTTGCTGCGAGTACATGCAACCCATCGTTCAGGTCATTAATTAGGACAATCAATAGTATTGGCCACTGTTTCTGATTCCTGAACAACTACTGTTAACTGGCTGCCAGTTGAATTTTGTGCTTAGAATCATCAGACTTTGAGCTTGGCTCACTGGCCATTTATTCTCCATGTTTTATTAATTTGGCTCATGACTGAGTATTTGGCTAGTTGTAGGTTCAAGCAAACTTTCTTCACATGGCACTTTAATATACACTTAGGATATGGTGGTGTTTTATGTTAAGGCGATCAGTTGCTTTGTTTATCAATTCACTAATAGATAGACAAAGGTGTCGGTGTATGAGCTGTGCTGTATGAGTGTATGCATCTGTTGGTTCATCACCAAGCAGTGTTTATCCTCATGTGACTAAAACTATACATTGGATAAACAAATAACAAGCAGGCCAAATATTTACTTATTTCTCTATTAGTTCAGTATTATGCCTCTTGTATATTCCTTTGTTATAAGGTAATTCCTACTGTTCAAGAGGACATTATAACCTGGAAAAGTAAGTCAAAATTATCAACAAACTAGATCAATGAAAAAAATAAAGTTAATAAGATGCTTGTTGAGTTGCATTAAATACTGTCATACTTCTTTTTTTGAGAGATTGAGATAGAGAAATTGCTTATCTAAGAGTAAAACACAGCATTGTAGGTTGCCTGTAGGCTAACTGAAATGAGAAGTAAATTGTTCTACAGAACAATAAATTGTTTCTGTAGTGTAACGACAGATAAGCCATATAGTTTATTGAAAGAAAGATGAAGATCGCTTAAATGTGTTTGAACAATGTTTCAGTTAACATGGATTGAAGTCCTGCAAAGTGGTATGACTATCTTATACAGTACATTAACTGGAAGAAAGTATTAATTTACTCATTTCATGAGCTAAGTGAATGCATCTGAGTGAATGTTAACATAAAAATTGAGAACCAAATCAACCTCTACAGAATCTTGATCTGTAAGCCACCGGGCAGCTCCTCTAGAACAATTTAGAGCATCCTCAAGAATGTTTGAAATTTCTGCTTTACAACAGCTCCTGGAAGGCTGCGGTGCTGGGAGTGAAGGAACAATCTGTTCAACTCCGGCAGATTTGGTGAAACAGTTTTGATGCAGACTGGTACCTGATCCTCAGGGCTCCTAACTTCCCAGCCAATTTTTAAAGGGTTGAGACAGACTCATAGCTTACAATAAAGAATTAGAAATTCACAGTATATCCATTCCGCACTATCTTTCATGTCCTATCAAACTTTATTCAATGGCCAAGGAAATGTTCAACTGATCCTTTAGTCAGTTCCTCTACTTTCCAGTAACAAATTTTACAATGATTTAGTGTTAGTAAGAACGTTTCTGAATTCCACTGCTAGTCTAAATAAATGTCTAATAATACATTTTATCTAAACTTCATGTTGCTGAATTTTATACTCTTACATGTTTGGATTTTTTAGATAGTAGTTTGTAATTATCTCTTTCGCTTATGTCTGTGTGAGATATCTTCAGGCTCTCTCTGCAAATCAGTGGGTAAATACTCGTTGAGAGACAATTCTGACCGTATGATCTAGGAAGTTTTATTTTTTAACAGTTTTCTTTTGATTCCATCCATTTTTTTTTTAATATTTCAGTTCTACAAATACTGACAGATAATTAATGAGTGATTTCAAATATTTGTTTTGCTTGAAGTTTCAATATTTTAGAATGTTTGAAGCTGATATCAGTAAAATTATTTTCTGAAACAGGTGGCTAACACTTGGGGTGTGATTATAAAGCAGAGTGTAGTGTCGTGTGGATATATATGAACTAGCTTGACTATTTGGAAGTCTCTCTCTAAGTAGTTCACCCTATCATATGAGTTATAACACTTCCTGAAGTGGCTGGATTATATAACATATTCTTTATGGCTTCAACCTTTTCCTTTCTGGAAGCATTAGTCAGAGCAAAAGTGTCAACAGACCACATTTCACATTTATTTTAATAATAAGTAAATTCCAAAATTAATCTCATTCCATCACTCTAATTTTATGTATGAAATAAAACAACCAGTAATATGAAAGTGTCAGTTGACATAATTTGTAAGCATGAAGCATTTCAAAAGAATGCATGACAAAGTTTTTATTTGGAAATTTTTGAAGATGGCTTTTATATGCATATCAAAGAATTGCATCAAGTAATTAACTATGCATTTTAACTGAGTCAACTATTAAGCAATTCTACTGTTACATCAGTGTTGGTATTTTCTTTTTTACATTGTAAATTATACTTTTTCTTTTGTTCTGCTGGACTTTTCTTGTATCCCTTGAGATTTCCCTAATGCATGGCAACTTATTTTTTGTTTTCCTAAGAAACCCCTCTTTCTTTTTGGATTAACTAAGTTTACTTCACTCATCCATCTTTCTCGCACTGCTGTTCGTTTATTGGTATTATAGGCTAGTATTACAAGAACTATTCAAGACTATAAATAGGTTTAGGAACCATTGTGCAAGGAATTAGACAACTTAGTAATAAAATCATCTATTTTCTAACAATTGTCTAAAGCTAGTTAGTTGTATTTTAGTGATAACATCCATTCCCTCTGCAGTTGCAACTTCTGTAGATTCATTCAATCCGTCCAACAAATAGTGTTTTTCTGCCATAATGCAGGTTTAAATTTTGCCTTTCTCTTTCTACATGCTTGCTGAGGGTACCTCTGCAGTCATGCAAGCTGGTTTACACTCAGCAGCCTGATTAGCTTTGATATGTAGCATCTTCTGATCTGCTTACCTGCACCTCAGTGTTGCAGTATTGCCTTCACTACTGCAGAATGCTTCAGAGGAATATAGAAGAAAGTCCGCAGAGTTTCAGAAGATACATAATAACAGAAGTTGTCTTTTTGTTCTCTTTTCTGTTTTGGTGGTTGGCCTGTGATGTGAACTGTGCAGACTGTTGGGGAGGGATTTGAGTGGGGGCTGGTTTGGGGTTTTTTTTGGTATGTGCACACATTCTATTTAATGTGTATTCCCCTTTTCAGTGCTGGTAGGTTTCAGCATCCCTGCTGTGTTACAACTCTAGCATTATTGGAGAAAATTTCTTTGAGCTGTCTTTCTGGCCTGGTTTCAGATGGAAAATGAGTTTATGTAATCACATTGTGTCCATTTGCCACTCTTTTCTCCTTGTGGCACCTTCCTGTCCCCCAGGCAACTTTGTACCTGTTAAGAGATTTGATCCAAAAGGACTGATACAGTTAAGAAAATTATTTTTCAAAACAATGTTTCATTTTCTAATGATTAACCTAACAGTTATAAAAACACTGAAAGGAGGTCATAGTTGGTATGAATGCTTGTAATGGGCACAATTGTGTAATACTTTTATGTACCCATTATTTTCATTTTCCTTTACCATTGATGCCAAGTAAAATTTGTGTGCAAAGGGTTTTGTGCTGCAACAAAAACACTACAAAATGATAATGGTAAAATATTAAGATGTATTACATTTTTCTGTAGAATAAAAAGATGTGTTGATTGAATGGTACAAAATGTTGATGCAATGTTGCAAAACTGATGAGACATTAGAAAACCAAATTATAAATACAGATGTTCTCCAGTTCAAAAGTACTCATTTGACTGTTCATTTGATGCTGAGTTGCTGAAGGTAAACATATTTTGGTTATGGAGAAGATGAAATTTTAAAAACACTGATGTGAAGTAAGCTTCAGAGTAATTTCTGTGTTATGTGATGAAAAATAACTGTGAAAACCAAAATACTGCATTAGGTAAGTTGGATTTTGAATAGGGAGAGAAGGCATCCCAAGTAAAATACAATTCCCTTTTGAATTCTTTCAGGAATGTAAATGAGTTCATAGGTTTATTTTGCATATTAAATGTTCTTCTATTTACTCAGAAGAGTATGATCAAGCACATAACGGTTCTCTAATTTAGTTTGGCTAGAAAATGTCCAAGCTGTTGTCTTGCTTTTTTCCCCCTCAGAGCATTATCAGCTGTATGTTCCTGAATCAGCTCAAGTTGGATCAGCAGTTGGCAAAATCAAAGCAAATGATGCAGACACTGGTTCAAATGCAGACATGAAGTACACAATTATAAATGGTGACGGCTCTGGGGTGTTCTCCATATCTACTGACAAAGAAACAAGGGAAGGAATTCTTTCCCTGAAGAAGGTAAGCAATAGACTTTGAATGTTCTTCATGTATGTAATTAAAATATAATGAATGCTGTATAAGCAGATATCACGATGAAAATATTTTACTGTGTAAACCTATTGAACCATGAACTTCAGTAGTCTAAGCTTCTCCACATTGCTTCTTGAGACAGTTTAAGTCCTTGCAGGAAAGGTAGGAGGAAAAGAAATTGAAGGAATGAAACAGTTATTTAAATCTTCTGTGATTTTTGAATGGTCATATCTAATATTTGTAATAAACTAAATCCTACTGAATTTTTGATTAAGATAGTTTATTTTTTCTGAATGATGGTTTTGCACGTTAGATTTCTTTGAAAAAAGTAAAATCTGGCTGAAAGTTATACTGTTATCCCCAGACCACATGAATCTTGACATATAAAGTTTATCTGTGGCAATGAATGTATAATTCCGTTTTCATAGACTACTGTTCTTTGACTTTCTTGCCAGCTGGCATCTAAAGGGTCAAGTATTGTGTATTGTGTAATGTAAATACCGACTTGCTTATAAAGACTCAAAATGTAACTGGTTAAGCCATCATACAGTTATAATTTATATGGATTTTCTATAGTCATCCCAGTCTATTTAAGCTATTAATTATAAAGTGTTCTTGCCATTTAATTTCATTCTTAAATGAAATCCCTGATCAAATCTAATTCCATAGTTATTTTCATCTCTGTATTAAGTCCTCTGAATCGAGTTCGTAGTGAACATTTCCTGAAGTGTCTTCCAGCTTATGTTAATATTCAATGGATAGATCTAAATTTACTTTTATAATAACTCAGAGGGATGGGTTACTATGTTTAAGTAATATTTTAAAAAAAAAAAACTCTCCAATAAAGGGAAATAATTTCTTGATTTCAGTTTTCACTTCGACTAACAGACATCAGTTAGCAAGTCTCATGTGGATTTGTTGTAACCGAGTCTTGTAGGCATCAGTTATATCCATGCAGCCTTAAAAAGTAAAAGTGAATTTGTATTCATATTTGGTAATGTGTATTCTGGGACTGATTAACAGTCAGAGGAATGAAAACCAGAGAAAATGTGGGGAAAGGCAATAAATAAAAACTCTTATAAAAAATGTTATTTTTTTGCATCTGAATAGATATGTATGTATGTAAATTTTTATTTAACATCTTAAGAAGCATTTTGTAACTGGAGGAAATGTTATTTTTATAATTCATAATTATTTAAAAAGAGTTCTCTCCCAGTGTCTTAAAAAGCTTTAATTTAGTGTCTTTTATAAAGGTTGTGTAATACCGACCTCTTCCAGCCACATAAAATCAAAATCTGTCTTTTCAATACCACTGAAGTTATGTCCTGGTGTCCTTGATGTAGCTAATGACATAATCTGTTATTTCTTCTTCAAAATAAGCATTTTTCTCCATTTAAAAGTTCACCATGATTATTGTTCATTAATATTTATGCATATTGAGAAGATGAAGCAGAAGGAAAGAATTTGCAACAAAACTAAAAAGTCCCTACATAAAATGTGTAAAACCACATTTCTTACTGTTTTTGGCAGCCAAAATAGCTTCAGATAAATTTTTACTATGTTTCAGAATGTGACAAAAGCGTATGTTGCCTCTTCTTATACATAGACATCACAGTGATTTGAGTCATTTTCCCATCAAGACAAGAAGGGGTACATTTTTCTTAGGTAATGTTGTATTTCAGTTGAGCAGAAATGCAGCACTTAAAGCTACATAAATTGGTGTGGAATACCTCTATTATTTCCTCAGAGAAGTTATAATATCCCCTTGTACAGTATAAAAAGGTAATCTAATTTTTTTTTACTCAGATCTTGTATGCTGTTTAATAAGTGTTTTATATACTGTATGCTGTAATTACCTTTAATTTACATTGGGTTTGAAGCTGAATTATTTTAACAGCCTAGCCCAAACAGGCAATAAAACCACTAAGAGCAGAATCAGTTTTCTTTCATATATCAGATGCCAGTACCTTCTATAACCATCGACGAGAATGATTTGTCTTCTTTCCAATACTTCTCTGGAAGAATGTATGGTAAGCCCATCAGAAAAGCCAGAAGTAAATATCCTGTTGTGTCTGAAGATCTGAAGTCCTCCTCAAACCTTTGAAACTTCACTTTTTTAATCTGAAGCAAAAATACAATTTCTCAGTGCCTCCATGCTAGACTGATCAACAGGCATGCAGCGTCTGTGAGTGCGGGAAGGAATCTTTTCTGGTCTCATTCTGGGCTGACCCAAAACATCTGGTACTTTCATTATCTTCCCTATTGACAAGCCCTGTGGAGCCACCCTTCAAAGGTCTCAAGGTCTCAAAGGTCCTGCTACATAGGGTTGATTGCAGATTGTCATGAAGGATTTCCCCTTTGCCTCATGCAATTCTTTGTTTGAGTGGGAGACTAGAGGAAACCAAACCAAAATAGTACTGTGAAATCCAGTGCTCTCTGGATCCTTCAGACAGTGGCTGGTCACCATTTTCCCACCTTGTTGTGACTTCCAGAGAAGTTTGCTAGGACTGTCCTGACCACAAGCCCACAAGTATCATTTAGGCTTCACAGGAGAGAAATGGTCTGAACAGCCCATGTTTCTTCCATTGTATATAATGAGACTGGAAATGTTCAGGAAGCAGCTATTTACTTCTCATAATATTCTGCTGTTTCTTTTGGGAGTCTGATATTAGAAACACAAACTGCAGTACAATGCACAGCAGTATTTTCCAGTTAGCCTTGTGGCTGGTCGCTCGAACTACATTTATTATCTTCAGTTTTGCATGAAAATCGGAATAACCAAGGAGTCCATGTGAAGATATGTGGGTAGTGGTCACGGAAATACATTGTGCTTTGGGAAAATAAGAAACATGAACGAAAATTCTGTTTAGGTCCTTCTGAAATGTAAAGGTATTGTTTTCTTTCCAGGAGAGTGTTGGGACAACGTTAAGTAAATCGAGAAATGATCATCTGGTTTTCTAGAGAGACAGGATAGTGCTGCCTATAAGAGAACCTTATAGCTACAGTTAATGACTGAAGCAGGCAACTGATATTCAAGGCCTGCCTGTGATTGAATGCGGGAGAATTTAAACTCGGGTTTTACATATTTGAAGCGAACATCTTTAGAAATCATTTATTTGAGTATTTTCTTCTCTTGGACAGAGCAATGGAGTCAGAAAGGACAGAGCCATATCTTTTTATTTGGCTATTTGGAGTTAAAAGAGTCCTACTGTGAACCTGATGGGATAGTTGGAATATTTCTTTTGTAAATATAGATTATTTCGCATTGTCATTTTTATGCCCAAATTCTTGCTGAATTAGAATAGCTTAGGAATTTTGAGATTAATTATGATTAATAAATTATATAAAATTCACTATTAACAATTAATATTAATTAAGTAATATTTACTATTAATAATTAATTCATATTAATAAAATATACTGATAAACGGCTCAGATTACATGAAATAATGGGTAGGTCTTTGAGCAAATTTCTTAGCACAACATTAGACAGGCTATAAAAGGGGGCCAATTTTGTTCTTCAAATTTAATATAAATGTCAATTTTAACACATACACAGTGTTTAAGAAGCCTAGCAAAATACAGTTCTGTAGATTCTAACTGCAACCAGATATCATTTTTTTTACATTTATCAAAAGTAAAAGGAAAACTGATAACAACTGGACTTGTGAGTTGTTCAAAGATGTGGAATATCACAGGATATGCTTTGCTTTTAAATTTCATTACTTCTCCTCAGGAGAAAACAAGGAAAATAAAAAAAAATGTTATGAATTTGACTCTTGGTAATAATAATAGTCTTTAGTACAGTATGTGTCTTTTCTGTCTAAAATAACTCAATGTCAAATATAATGTTTTTTCACCTCTGTGAATCACAGTGCAGGAGAGTAAGCTCTTTATCTCTTACGTCCTAGTGTCTGATTCTTGTATTCAGAGATGTTATAGGAAGAAGAAGGAGGAAAACGAAAGTAAAAAAAAAAACTTTGGTTATGCTTGAAATGTTAGCTTTTTCTGGTTATCTGAATGGATTATTCTTGTATTTCTAGACCTAAAAAAAAGTGTTGGTATTGTGTGATTGAATAACCACACAAAAGGAAGAAAACAAGACTTTAGGCTTTGTGTTATTCCTCGTGCGTTTTCTGGGAGGAATTAATCTTCCTCTACAACCTAATCCAGTCATTGTCAGTATAAACATAACTTAATTTTCCAAAAAGTCATCACAGTTACAATTTGCAATCCTATTTTAAACCTGTTTAATCTTAGAATACGTATGTTGCAGAGCAATGCAAATTACTATTTAGTATTTCCCTGCTCATAACAGAAATATAACATAAATTAATGAACAATATCTGAATTAGAATTTACTAAATATGTATTTTTTAATTAATTTATTTAATTTGAGTACCATACTTAGCTCTTTTTTTAGAGTGATAGATTTATCAGGCTATGGTAAATTTCCATACCTTTCAAATTTTTATTTATTCATTCAGGAAAGGGAGACAGAGAAAGCAAAAGACAAAAAAGTCTCATACAATTAGAGTTAAGAGAATGAACTAATTGTCCTTCAATACATAAAGGAGAAATCAAAGAAATATATAGCATATATAAATCCTGACCATTTTTCTTATTATCATCAGTAAAATTTACTGTAGATTTTACCTACAAAATGCACACTGACATTGACAAATCACACATTGAGTTCCTCATATTTCTTGCCCTAAGTATTACTTTTCCACTCTTTGGGGTAATAGGAAATACCATTTTAGACTTGGTTGAAGGCTTGAATACTTGTACTGAATTCTATTCAGGCAGGCTATCAAGTCCACAGAGAATGATACTGGTCGTAGTGGAATTCTGCCATGCCATAATGTCATAATAATTTCTACGATTAAAAAAAAATCCATGTGTATGCAACTTCTTTTAGTGTTATGCCTGTGTTTTGACACTGTTGGAAACTTCGTGGTAGTATATATATTTGTACAAACTACCTGCTTTGCTTGGTGTAATAATAAATATTAACCTACCTATCCTTCTTTATAAATTGGCTGAAGGTAGACATTTGTAACCCAGTAAATATTGAGCTATTATCAAGAAAGACTGCTTTTGCTCAACGTAAAAACCCATTTAAAAAATTGCAACCTGAAACTTTAAAATCTATTCTACCACTGCATGGTCTGGCATATTTTCATGAAACAGATAAATGACCACTGCATGCTTTATGTCATCTTGGGTTTACTTGTTTCCCAGAAACTTTCCTAACTTTATGGAAGTGCAGACATATACTGATAAACGTTGCAACAGGGATTCTCCTTGATACTTCTGTGTTTAAACAGCTTCGGTCCTAAGTGACTCATTATGTGGTAGCTCTGGCAGGTTTTTCTCCCATTGGCCTTGCTCTCATCATTGCAGTCAGCCCCTACAGTCAGTATAGTACAATTCTGGACTGAGATACTGGCTTGGACTCTACCTGGAAAGTAGACATATGCTAAGATTGCAGGAGACTTCAGCAGAGACTGACAGTTCTTCATTTATACATTTATTTTTCTCTGCCATATCAAGAAGAAGGTAGTTACTCAGACCGTAAAGTGGGATAAATAAGCTTTTGCAGAACAGCAAATAATTCGTCTTTTGCCATTGGTTATGAGTTTTGAGATCAGTTTCTTAAGATGTTCAAAGCATCTAAAGTAAACTGGTATTTTTTAAAGCTATTTCAGTAACTATAACTAACGGACAATATCTAGAAAAAATAACTTCTCACATGAAATTCTCCAAGGGCTGTCTATGAAGAGCAGACAGTTACTTTAGCGAGACTGAAGAAACCAACACAAAATAGTTGTGGTCCTGTAAACATGGCTTCCAGTAAAAACATTGCCTAATTCTGTATCTGCTAACGGAACCTCATTACTTGTGTACTTTCAAGTTAAATATCCATTTAATCCCCTCTACTACATAACTATCTGACGCTGGAAGAGTTGAGAGTTGAGTGTGTCATGTTTATCTTATATCTTGCATAAGACAGTGTAATAACATGCTAATGTAGGGTTAAAATAAATATATCAAGTCGGTAAAATTAGTTCACAATAATCTGAAAACCAGCTGAACTAGGGAGGTGCAATTTTCACATGTGTAAATAGAAAGCTAGAAATGGGCCTCCTAGGAAAGACAGTATGCATGCTGTGTGATATATGAGTCAGACCCCCAGCTTCTTCCTTCCTAGTGCAGAGGTAGGGTTCCTAGTAGGAGTCTATTAATGTAAATAGCAGGGCAATATTCAACTGGCAGTAGCACTTCTGACGAATGGTACAGCTGGGGATGTGCCTTCTACTGGGTTTTATTGGAACATTAGGCCCTGTAGAAGGCATATCCCCATCTGCAGACTTCCTTCCCATTTATGACTGCATAATCCATGTGCCGTGCAGCAGTACATAGTGAGACAAGCTGAAGAGTTGTCTCCCTCTGTGCCAGTGAAGAATTGAAAAGAATGGTCCAGAATATAGGGATACACCCTTTCTGATTAGAAAAGCACACAGGCACATGTTTAGGCTATTCTTACACATAGCCTTACGGAGTGTTTTTCTGCAAGGAGTTGCTTTTTTCAGCTGAGGATTTAAGCAAAGAGATGCCCAAAATAATTTTATTATCTCTGTCACTGTCTATTAAACGTGTTAATTAAAGATACAAAGTTAATTTAATTTGGGATACATCAGTGTCTAACTTTTTCAGTATTTAGCATTGACCAATAAAAAGTGAAAGGTGATAAAATTCAGAGACTACATTATCATGGAAGAAGAATCTGACTCTCATTCTAAACACTGAGTTTCTCCAAAGCTGGTACCTCACCCACAGTTGGGTCGTAGAGAAAACCTGAATCCATCCTGCTCCATGTATATCCTTGCACTTACAAGATATGGCCGTGGCTGCCAGAATATCACAGAATATTGTCCCTTTCCAGTAACGTGAAGAAATGTGGTTTAAGTTAAATGGAAAAGATGTAGTTAGCTTGCTAGCAGGCTAAAATGAAGCACAGAATGGTATTGATAAATCTTTCTTTCTGCCAACAGCCACTCAACTATGAAAAAAAGAAATCATATACACTTAATATAGAAGGAGCAAATACTCACCTTGATTTCCGCTTTTCGCACTTGGGACCATTCAAAGATGTAACAATGTTGAAGATCATTGTTGGCGATGTGGATGAACCTCCGCTCTTCACTATGCCTTCCTATGTCATGGAAGTTTATGAAAATGCAAAGATTGGGACTGCTGTTGGCACAGTAACAGCACAAGACCCTGACACTGCCAACAGTTTAGTGAGGTATAGTAAGTCCAAATTATATGGGATTGGATTCCACCAGCTAAAGGGTTAATGCGATCCGGGACGTATGAAACTATGTCTTTTATTTTAGTACATAAAGGGAAATATAGGTCAGAACAGTGTCATGGTCAGTCTGTATGGATTAGATTTAATAACATAATCTTCAACCTTCTGTTGGTTTGCACTAAAACTGCATCTCTCCACTGGTCTGAGCAAAGGTCTGTGTGCAGGGGTTCCTGTAACAGCACCTCCCCAAGCAGCACACGGAACAAGGCCAGTATATGTGACCACACCATATAAAACGGTGCACTTCACTGTCCTGCTGCCAGTCAGTATTGTGCCCCTAGTAGTAAATCTGTGCAGGATCATAACGCTGTTTTTTCCTTGTCATGCTGGTATTGTGCTAGTCCTCTGCACACTTGCCGCACTGTAGTTGTCCCAGATGCTTGTGCAAGACAGGAACTGGTTTAGGTACACCTTTCCTCACAGACATGCAGTATAATTTTTGCAAAGTTATGTTTGAGGAGGAAACGATTATTTTGTAATATGCCTCATTCTTAAATAAAATGGTCTCATTAAAAACAAACAAACAAACAAACAAAAAAAACAAAGAAAGGAAGATCTCTGTGTTGCTGCTCTGGCCAGAATATTTTATATAATAACCGAACTGGCTTAGAAATAGGTCATGGTCTGAACTAAGGAACTGAAATCAAGATGGAAATACCCCCACAGCAAGCTTGAAAAAGCATTGATGCCAAAAATATACGTATGGATATTAATTTGATGACTTCTAAATTTAAGTTCATTTGGATTTAACCTTGAAAATTCCAGTATTGGGGTTGGAATTCATTTACAGGTTTAGTGTAAAGTTTTCAGTTACTTATTTTCAGCTTTAGTAGGATCCAGTGACAATTTTTACTGGTTTCATTTGTGGGATGAATTACGTTCTAAAAATTGACATTGTGACAGTGTGAGAATTCTGTGGAAAAATACATGAATGTTTGTCTCAAAGGTGGTAGTGGGTTTAAACCGTTTCAGAAAAAAATTCTTCATGAATACATATTTGATGTTATTCCTTTTTATAACATAGTGGTATAGCTTTTGTGGAAATCATGTGAGTATATACTTGGAAAACAGTTTTTCTTAAGCTAATTGAGCATTTTTAGAGTCTTGACTGAGTTTAAATTTGTTGGACTATTATGTGTAATAGTCTTGGTAAGATGAAACAATTTTTGCAGAACAATGAAAGCATCAGGTTTTTATGGTTCTCTTGTGCTAATAATCTAAGATTCAAAATGTTTAGTGTCAGACAATCAATATATACAATTTCTTAGTGGCAAGTTATTGCCTTTGAAAAATTGTCACTATGGTATTTGTGTCTAAATCATAACATAAATTAGAGAATTTCACTAAAAATAACTGCCAAGTGCCTGTAGCTTTAATACTGTAATTCTGAAACAACAGCTAACACAGTCAGACATATTAGTCATCGTGGTAGTTTAGGAGTAGGAAGGGCAAGTGCAGATTTGAGTAGTTCCCCATAAATCAACACTCTGTGGCCTCTAAGAGTTTTGTCTAGAAAGGGGTGAGACAACGATGCTAAAAGGAAAGCAGCAGTTTGTACAAAGACTGGGAAGGCCAGATATATTTTCTGGTTGAAACAGGCAATAATTTGGAGATAGGGGGATGGAATGAAAAATATTTCCAAATACTTTGATTTTTGTATTGACCTTTTTTTTTCCAAACAGGAATTTGTAACCAGTGATTGAGGCCAGAATATTAAACATACATATTAGTCAAATTATTGAGGAGAAAAATTGTCCTTACTTTTGCCTATCCTATTTGTTTCCCCCATTGACATTTATTTTTGCATTGTTCTGTCTGTCTCTCTCTGTTCTAATGGGGAGAAAAAACAACTGCTAGCAAAGTGAGTCATGAAGCTCTGAAAGGAGCCAACCCTCACTTATGTTAGAGGGGTTCAGCAAGGGCAGTAGCAGCTCAGGTATCCTTGGAATATCATTATAGTGTGACCAGATACTCTAGCCAGGCTTTATCCATGGCGGTGGAACTGACAGTGAATATCGTTTCACGTCAGTGCGTTGTTTCACAACAGTGAATATTGTTTCACGTCGGTGTGTGGGACCCTGGAGAGGCACCAGGCTGGGTCGGTGTGCCCTCAGGTTCTCCTTGCGCCTCCTCCCTCAGGAGGAGACAGACTGCTCTGGGAACAGGCAACTTTAACCCCCCTTCCCTCACCTCACTTCGCACACAGACCCCGACGCGGTGCGGAAGGGCTTTGTGTTGTTTCACGATTAGGCCGCAGTGTGGGAAACGATGAGTTGGAAGCGGCACACGGCCTTGAGAAGCGGGCCAGGCTGGCTGGGCTGGGCTGGGCTCGCTGGGCTGGGCTGCTGCTCCACCGGAGACCGGGCCCGGCCCCACGCTCCGCTCACAGCGGCAGGTGACGGAGCGGCTCGGAGGAGGCCGGTTTTCCCAGAAGTGCACACACGGTGCGCTTAGGTCCGTCTGTGCTGGTTTGCAAGGAACGCCTCCGCTGTTCGTCTGAAACCCTGATGAGTCTGAAAGATAGTCTGAGGGTCATGAGGTCATGTCTCTCCTTCATTTCCACACAATTCCAAGTTCATTCAAAATGAAAACAGTGATTATAAAAACAAAACCAGGAAGATTCAATGTAACTTCCCCAGAAAGCACAGAACACACAGTCTCCATTGTTGTCCAGCTGCTAAAAGAGATACAGTGCTGTGGTTTGTTCACTGCCCAATTAACTAACACTTAATTTTGATGGCAGGAGTCATTGTTATAACCAGAATAATGGTTAGAGGAGCAGTTGCAGTAACTAAAAATGCTGAAAGGAAGTCTTTTTAAAAATAAAGTGTTTGAGCTAAACCACAAAAATAATAACAACCTCTATTATTATCAGTAGAGAGGGGTTCTGAATGCTATTTTTCTCCTTATTTCCTCACTGTGATTTCATCACGGAGATTTCAGCTTGTTCCTCAGCAGAGCAGTCTTCAGAGGGCACTGACTTTGTGCCAGTGATTGTACTGCTGTTTTACGTTTTCAAGCCCAGCAAAAGAGCCTCTGTAATAACAAATGTAGCTATTATTGGTTTCTTTTATTACAGACATTATCTAGTTGTCAGTTTGGGCTGTTTTAAAGGATTTTCCTTTATAAGTTAATTTTTTTTTCCTTCAAATAGATACAAATGCATTTTCAGGGAAACTCTCAAAGATGATGTTGTGAAATAAAATATTATTCTATTGCAATATGAAAAGCAAACATAATCATAGATGTCATAAGAAATAAAGATATTAAAACTCCATCATGTATTAATTTTAAGGAAAAATATTTTTTGAGGGGTTCTAAACCCAGCTATTTACTTGAAAAATTGTGTCCTAAATCAGTGGGAAACATCCTAAATTGTAATTCATTCACAGGGATTACTGCCTTGTTGGAACATTTATGGGAAACTAAACCTCTTTCATTGCATTGTGTCAAGGAGTCTGGTTCCATACCAAAATCTTTCGTTGCTTGAAAGGATCAGGGTTAAGTCATGTCTTATAATAATATCTGGTGCGCAAGCAGGTCTTCAAAGTTTCCCGTACAATATGAAAGAAATCATGACTATTAAATGCTTTAATTCTAGTTTTGTTTTAGTATATTATTCATTTTAAATCTCTCCATACTTAGAAATGATCTTTTTTCTTCCTGAACCCACACACAGAAGACTTCCGTGGAGACTAGGGGTGAAAACGGCTGTTAGTTGGCAGGTTGCATGTGCGCGTTGAGAGCAGCCCTAGGCTGCTAGTGTTCCTCAGGGCTGCGGCAGCGCCTGTTGGAGCCCCACCATCTTCCTGTAGGGAGTTCTTGGGCGGCCCGTCCGCCTAACCACGATGCACACTCCCCGTGATCCTTGGAGCTTTCTGACTGCATCTGGTCTGTTTGCAGTGGAGTGGTTTTCAGAAAAATGATGTTGCTGCTGTTCCCAAAGCCTCCTCCAAGATTCAGAAAAGATCAAAGGAGTAGTTTTAGAAACGCATGTGGTAGTGAAAATAGTCGCATGACGTAGGCAACTTCCCTCATATTATTTGGTTCCAGTTTGATACTGTCTTATGAGGAACTGAAAGTCTTTATTAACACTGTACCCTGGTAAGAGCGGTTTTTGAGAAATGTCATGCTGTTGTAGAAATACTGTAAAGTCAGCTCACTCCGTTTGCTGCTGCCGTGGAATCTTTGTCGTGCAGCGGTACAGGAGGCAAATCACTGTTCTGAGCGCTAATGACAGAGCCTCTGTCCCCTCTATTTGTTACTCCCACTTACCATGTGGGTTGTTTGCATTGCTGGGCAGGAATGGTCTCTTCCCAGCTATTTAACAGAAGACCCCTGACGAACGGGGTATGGGTACTGATCAGCACTCTGTGTGTGACAGTAACGTCAAACGATAAGAAATGTAAGCACCTTCCCTTTTCAGAATGGTGTCTATCATGGCTTGGTTAAAAAAAAACCTTACATTTCATTGGATTCTTGGATGGTTGATTAGGTTTTGTTATATTAATACGCTGGAATTCAAGTCATTGTTGTGTTGGACCCTGACCAGTTGGTAACCTACCTCAATGTAATATATATTATTCGCTAGGACTGAAATTGATTAGCTATAGGAAACTTAAGTATTCTTAGTGCCTTCCTGATGTCACTAGTAAATGAAATTCTTCACTGAGCTCTTGTCACTACTGCTAAAAAAGCTGTAAAACACAGAAGAAATAAATATGAAACATAAAAGTGCACATGGTTGTCTTTCTTAGAAAACAATTGTTTTACTTCCAGGAAAGGCAGAACCAGCCAACCAATGAGAAAACAATAGCAACAAAGTAGCAAACATAAATAACAAAAAAAAGTCAGAAAAATATTTTTTTTCCCCCCTCTATGACTATCAGACTGTTCATTTTGTGCTAAGGTAGTCAAGAATACAAGTACAGTCT